CGGACGTTACGGGCCCTCCTCCTCCTCCTCCTCCTCCTCCTCCTCCTCCTCCTCCTCCTCCCAACCAAGAAGAAACCCTCTCCTGGGCATCGTTTCTAGAAGGGTTGGTGGGGATGCGCGAAGCGTCAAGAACATCCACCGCCGCCTGAGGTCAGGGAAGATCGGTTTCCGAAGCGATGGAAATGGATCGAACCTGGCCTCTGGGTGGGCAACAAAATGCCGATCCCGCTACTCCCCGGACCTCTCCTGGAACGCACTCTGAACAGAACTCAAAGGAGAATCTAGCCGTGGCGACGGGAGCTCTCCAAGAGGAGCAGCCCCATCGGTACCTCTGCCCCGATCTACCTCCCCCGCCACCCCCGACGTCATGATTGATTCATGACGCGGGCCCCCAAAGGTCTCGACCCACTCCCCGAGACTGGCTTTTCATCCTGCGTCGTTTTGTTGACGGCCCCGGGGCCCGGCGAGGGCCCCTGGAGCCCGAAAACGGTAAGAAATCATCCGTCGCGACAGGTCACTACGCGAGGGGATCCTGGGCCCTTCGAGGCCGTTCAGCCGGGGTCCGAGCAGATTGGGTCGGATGACCGCGCCGCATCGCCGATGCATCGGCGGTGCATCGGCGCCGTCCGCGTGGAGAAAACCGAGCCGCATCGCTGGTGCACTGCCAGTGCATCGCCAATGCATCGGCGATGCCGCGCGATCCTCCGACCCCGTCATCAACTCCGACCCATCAGGGAGGCCTGGAGTGACAAGTCACCACGCGAGCCCAGACATGCGACCCCCTGATTTCTTCAGCACGGGGCCCATGCATGGAAGTGCCGACCATTTCCCCGGGGCCAGCTTTCTTCCTGCACAGTTGTCGGAGGAGGAGGAGGAGGCGGAGGAGGAGGAGGAGGAGGAGGAGGAGCTTAACTTCCTGGGGCCCGGCAGGGGCCCCCAGAGGCCCAGCACGGCCCCAGACCTCCCTTCTGTCGATCTTGCCCCGGGCGCGAGAGGCCTCGGAGCCCAGGCGCTGCGGGTCTCGGCGGCAACCCCATGCGCGGCGACCGGCACGCGGCACCTTTGAGCCGCCAGAGGGGCGAGGCGATTGGCAGCGAGCCGCACGGCGCGGGGGCGGAGCAGGGCGGTCCTCCTCCATGAGGGCCAGCATGAGGGCTGGACCTCAACGTTGCTCTTCGTTGTGCTTTCGTTTTGTTGTTCGTTTTGCTCTGCCTGGTCTCCTGTACCTCCCTGCCGACACGAAGCGCAAGACTCGGCCGAAGTCCAGCAAAACAGCGTTTAGGTCCAGCCCTGGGGCAGCACGAGGGGAGCACGTTAAAGGCTTCGAGGTTCGATGGTTTCGAGGCATCTGGACGGGTTTCGTCGGTTCTCGGCGGCTCTCCAACCTCAGGGGTGCCTTCCAGCGGCTGCGCCTCGCCGAGGGCGTTCCGGGGCTGCCCGGGTCATCCCGAAAAGGCCGCTGGAGAACGGAGTGATGACATCTTGCCCTGACCTCACAAGCAGGAAACTGGCTCAGGGTGGGGAACGTAGACCTGGAATCGGCGATACATCGCCGACAGATCGGGGCCCCGATGGCGAATCTGCACGTCCCTGGGCGGGGTGGAACTATGAGACCCCTACCAGCGATCAGTGGGCATTGGGAGTCGATGCGTTGCCCCCTAAGCCAAATGATCCCATCCTCCTCTTGCTCCTGACTCCATCTCGGAAGGCTCCTGGGTTGGTAGCTCGGAACTCCGCGCGGAATTTTTGCATCCGCACAAGGGCCCCCCTGGCGGCGCCTCAGGCGCCGCCCCTGGCGCGCCACGCGCGCCAGGGAGGGGGGTCCAGTAGCGACCCAAGTAATCCGCGCGGAGCTCCGACAGCTTATGTTTATTCTTATTTTCGCTGCGCGACACAAACACCTGCATCAGCGCTTGCCTCCACCAAGGGGGGATGATGCCGATCCCGACGATGGTGGTAACATTTCGGCTTCTTGCGTGGCCGAAAGGTCACTATTTTAACTTCAAAGTCCAGGGTAACCTTCCCCAGGCGGCACATCCCGTTGTCTTGGTGCGGACGCCCATCTCGGGTCGGGCGAAAAGGGGGGATAGCAAAGGGGGGGGTTGAGAATCAGCTCACGTAGCTGATCTTCCCGGCGCCTCCCGGCGCCGGAGGCGGCTTTGTATCGAGGAATGGGCCCCTCGGTGAGGCCGAAAACAGCTGCATGCAGCAAATTTCGTAACCCCCCCTTTCCCAATCCCCCCCTTTCGTCCAGCCCGACAATCTCCAGGCCACGCCTTTCCTCCCCATGGGGGCACGGCTCTCCCTCAGTTCCCGACGCTGTGAGGCTCCGGCAAGACTGAGAAAGAGTGGGGCCCCGACGACGGAGGGGCGCCCATCCTCGATAGGAGTGCGTGCGAAGAGCCCCCCCCGGCGGTGTTTTTCTTTTTTTTCCCCCGAGGGAGAAGATGGAGCGGACCACGAGCCACAAGAGCAGGCTTCAAAACGCAAATGCCGCCACACACCCCAAAGCCGAGCTCACAGAACACGTGGGCACAGACACAGTGAAAACGTATCGGGCTAGACTTGCACACATTGTGTCACAACCCCTGCTGCATGTCCTGAGCGGCGAATTTCCCCCGAGCAGCTGTACTGATTGGGGCGCATATTGTGGTAAGACCCAGTTCCGCCCGGCGGACATTCTCAAAACTCTCGGGGTGGCCGGGCCCGTGTCGCCAAGGACATCCTCACAACTCTCGTGTCTGAATTGTCTGGGGTTGAGCCGATATTCCTACGGTCAAGACGCTGAAATAAGGAACAGTTTGGGTTCGGAAGGGTCTCGATGTTCCTTAGGTTCCTCCGGTGCTGCTCCTCTTGCCCTCCTGGGGCACGGAGGCGCTTACAGGGCCAAGAAGGGGCTTCGTTCCTGATTTAGCGTTCCTTCTTTCAGCGGCCCGACTCTGAGGTGGTCGGGCCCATTTCGCCCAAGACGTCCTCACGACTCTCGTTTCTGAATTGTCTGGCATCGAGCTGATATTCCTATTCTTGCAGGGCTGAACCTAAACGGTGTTTTCGTTCTCGTTCTGTTGTCGTTTTCCCTCGTTTTGTCTTCAATCAACCTCTGACACAAAACGAAATCGAAACGAAAACGGCCCACGAAATTACCAAAAACACCGTTTAGGTCCAGCCCTACTCGGAAGCTGGGCGAGGGCTGCCAAAACCGTGGCTGCCAAAACGGCCCTCCCGAAGGAAAAAACAACTTCCCAGAATGAGGCGCGGCACGCGAAGCAGTCCACGGGCTTCTTCCCGGAAGGACGAAGACAACTTCCCGGAGGTCGATCTTAGCAGCCACGGATTTGGCAGCCCTTGCCCGGCTTCCGACCTACTCCCACCGCCAGAACATACCCATATCCACCGCTTCGGAGTCGTGCCCTGATGGGCGGGCAGATGTCCACATCCACCACTCCTCGATTCCTTGGGGTACGACCCCGCGGCAGTGGATATGGACATACGGCAGGTTCGTGTCGTGCCGACCCCAGCGTTGGTTTTTGACACCGCAGGGATCGTTCAACCTTGAACGATCGGCCGCTGCCGCAACGTCCGATCGTTCAACATCGATCGATTCTGGGTCGCCGGCGGCGTTCAACCTTGAACGCCCGCGCTGGGGTCGCCGCTGGTCGACACGACGCAAACCTACCGTATCCCAGTGGCGCACTACTCCCGAGCAGAAGGCCCGCGCGTGGTGGAAGCCGTCGGGCGCAAGCTGTGCGGTGCAGGCCGCGCGGTGCAGCCAGGCGCACGGGGGCGCCTCTCCGAGGCGCCCACGGGCGGCCACGGGCGACGCGCGAGGCGACCACGACGACGACGACGCCAAAGACGACGACGACGCCGACGACGACGACGCCGACGACGACGACCACGACGACGACGACGACCACGACGACGACGACGACGACCACGACGACGACGACGACCACGACGACGACGACGACCACGACGACGACGACGACCACGACGACGACGACGACGACGACGACCACGACGACGACGACGACGACGACGACGACCACGAGGCGGCCCCGGGCGGCAACCCGGCGCAAACCCAGAAATATGGACGCCGAGCATTTTCCTTCTTCCTCGGGCAGGTGGCGGCATCCGAGCCCACCAACCATCGATTCAACCGAATCGATGGGAGGCGGGGGCAGGGTTCGGATCTCGCCACGTGTTCGGCGAGCTCCGGATCCCACCCCCGCCGCCCATCGAGTTGCTCGCATCGTTGATCGGCGAGGGCAGTGTTCGGATGTCGCCCGCCATCTGAAGGCCGCACGCCTGGCTGAAATCATCTTGCCGATGTCGCAGGCACTGGGCTCACGCAAGCAGTCCTCTGGCTTCTGCCGCCAGTGCGAGGGCGGCGTGCAGGGAAGAGGCACCTGCCAGTAGCCCGCCCTGGCGGAGGAGGGGAGAGGCGAGACCATGGGAGAGGGAAACCCAGGAGAGGGAGGAGACTCCACCATGCGGGCCGCCACATGATGAATCATGACGTGCAGCAGTGACGAATTGATGGAGCAGCGACTCCAGCTGTGCTGGGCGCACGGGAACGCGAGACCGAGCATCCGCCACGCGGCCGCTCTCTCTCTCTCTCTCTCTCTCTCTACGAATCCGCAGAAAAGGGCAAAGTATGTCTTAAGAAGCAGGGTCGCGGACAGGGTCGCTGACGCTGCGAGGATGCTAGTGAGCCACACGGCCGTCCTCCGCAGCGCATCCGCAGACAGATGAATAGTCCGTGTGAGCCTGTAGACGTGTCCGCGAGGGTCGTGGGCAGGCTCACCGTGATGCTTGAAGCCGCGACGCTCCATGGACGAGGACTTGAATCGCCCGCTTGCCTGATAAAGATTCGTAAACTGCGTACAAGGGCGAAAACCCAAAGGCATGTGGAGACATGCGCAAATGTCCCAACCACGATGCGCAACGTAGCTCGCATGACAAGAAGCCCAACTCGCCGCGCGTACAACTAAGTACGAATGCAACAGAACAAGGCTGGCGGAAGGTCAGGCAAAGGTGGAGGAAGACGGGGAGGGAAGAGCAGAGGGGGACTACTGCGGGCTCCCACCAAGCGACTACGGGAGGGTCTTCGGCCGCTGTTATGCAGGCGGCTTTTGTGTCTTCAAAACACAACGTCCGCAGCGGCACGGACTTCGAGTCCTGTTCAAAATAAACAGGAACTGCTGTTGGACATCGTACCCACTCTTTTCGTACCCATGCCGATCGCCCCGAAATAAGAGAATAACACCACGCGCGGTCACACCGACTGGCTTCATGAGGGCACTGCACTGCACGGCGACTGCACGTCGTTCATCTCTAATCGTGCTCACTCCTGAGTGTGCTCGTTTGTAATTATTCCTGGCCCCCCTATTGCCCAGGAAGAGGCTCAGGATAGAAGAACTAGAAACGGGATGATCTTGGCCCCAAAAAAAATCAAAGAACTCTCGAATGGGGGGGCCCTGCGCGGGCTCGTCGCCCAGCTGGACGGCACAGATGACGTGAAGACCTGCCAGCTCTCGCCGAGCGCCCTCGGGATATGGCACTGCACAGCGTCAGCGTCAAGCTGGCGTGCGCCAGCCCGGTGGCACCACGATTCGGAATGGGAAACATACACGTCGTTCATTTCTAATCGTGCTCATTTCTAATTGTTCCTGGCCCCCTAGTGGCCAGGAAGAGGCCCAGGAAAGAACAGTTAGAAATGAAAGGATCTTGGCCCCCAAAAAATCAAGGAGCACTCGAAGAATTGGAAATGAACAGTGTGTAGAGAACCAGTGACATCAGCACCAAATGTGCTAGAAGAGTGAGGAAGCCGAGTCGGACCAAGGGCCTCGCCCCACAGTGGCCCCAGCACGCTTGGGATGCCGATCCTTCCAGATCGGCCCCGAATTGTTTTACCTGGCGAACGTCGTGGGGCCGTGGAACGGTGCTGCCATGACTGACTACCAGCTCGCTTGTGATTTCCCTCTCACCGTCGGCGAACGTCGATTACAGTCGCAAGAGAGAGCTCTACATCACAACATATGCCGTCGCTCAAACAAAAAACTGCACGCCGAACCCTCCAGCGCAGGCCAACTCATCTTCTGGCTGAATTGAAACCCAAGGCCGTCTCGAAACGACCCTGGAGCATCCCTGGGGCAAAGCATAGGCCGGCCGCGCACAAGGTTGTATCCCACTAGTTCAACGCATGAATAACCCTGTGTCCCCGATCATTCTCGAAGGTTCCTTACAAGCCCTGGTATCCCAATATCCAAGAAGTGTCGTGGACAGTAGTGACTACGGACTTCGATCGCACTCGGCATCAAATCCCGTACAAGATCCGCGCACGATGTCATTAAACATGACGCGCGTAAGCTGAATGTGCATATGTCTGCACACCGTTGCATAGTCCCTGCAACAGTGGTGGAACGTGCGTTCGCACAAACTTCATTGCAAATGCAGGCCACGCTAAGGTCGGCCCTGCAGGGCCGCCTCTCGGAGACGACGCAGCACATGACGCCTCTGACAATATTGGAAAATATCATCCGCCCGCCCCTCGGCGCGTGCAAGCGTGCAAGACGGTTCCATTGCTGTCGAGTGGAGGTTACGCACACGGTGAAGGCATTGGACAAGGAACCTTTGGAGCAGGAATCCAAAGCCGGAAGGCCGATGGAATACCACTTGAGGCTTGGCCATGGGTATCACCTTCGCCCTCGTCAGCTAAAAAATCCCGCGGGGTCTGAAGCCTCCTGCGCGCATTCCTTCACCAACGCCCCCACCGCATAGCTTTCGACGGCCGACCTCCACCCCTCTTACCGTACGCCCCCGTGGGGAATCGCACCTTCAGGGGGTGTTTCTCGACGCCCTGTCTGGTCTCCAAACGGCGCCAAAACAAGGAAACTCGACCCATGACACCCAAGAGGCCCCCAAGACTGCCCAGACAAGCCCCCGAGACGGCCTCCGAAGGCGTCAAGCGGGCCAACCGAAAAATTCTAAGACGGCCCAGGGGGCCGCCGATAGTCATTAGAAACGATCCCAAGAGGCCCCATGGGAGGGCCCGAAAGAGGCCAAATCCACGAACCCCGCTGAGGTTTGTGAGTGCGTGTCGCGGTTCTGCCTGCTCGGGTTCCCGAAAACCCAAAACGACCCCATTGGCCCCCAAGGCGGCCCAAGCGGCCTCCAATACGGTGACCAGAGGAGCCCAAAAGCGTTTCGACAAAGCTCCTAGATGGCATCAGATAGACCCTGAAAGCGGCCTGCAGAGGCGCAAAACGTGCCAGGCGAGCCCCCAGACGGCCCATGACGCCCCCCGAAAAACCGGGGAAGTAATTCCTGTTCCCCCCGGTGTTACCGTTGGCATCAAAGCGAAACAGAATTATTCGCGGGTGCGGGTTTAACCGAGCGGTACCGCTAGCGCCACAAAGATTAATCCAGACCCCCAGAGAACAACCCCTTCTGGGGATAATGAAGTTCGGGTTCCAGGCGGGCAAATAAACGTTTCCCCGGGGATTTCAGCACAATAAGGAACTGTTGACGATGGTGATGGTGATCGAAATGGTCCTGGACGTCCATAACAATTATGAAGCAAATCAATAGGAGCCCTTCGGAAAACCATAACAGCCCCATGGATTCCCATTGCATTCCTTCGGATCTGCATCGGGCTCCTTGGGGAATCCATACGGGACCCTTGCGAAATCCATGGAAGTCCTACAGAAATCCATAGGATCCCGTCGGATACCCATGGGAATCCTAATGACATGCATTGGATTCCTTGTTACATTGTATTCCTTCGGGAACCCATCGGAATACGATGGCAATCCGTATGACGCCTTCGAATATCCAAGACGGCCCCGTAGGGAAATCATGAGATCCCTTCGACAACCCATCGGGTTCCTTGGGGGTCCCATAAGCATCCAATAGACATCCAGAAGACCCTTTCTTAATACATCCATCGGGATCCTAAACAAGAACCAGCTGGAACCTTTTAGGACATCAGTACAATTCCGTAGGACGCCCGTAGGACTTCTTAGGGGACCCATCGGATTCCTGTCGGAGTCTATAAAGTATCCAGGGAAACCCATGCGATCCCTTTTGTACACGCATTGTATTCTTTTAGGCAACCCATGAGACTCCGATGGAAGCTCGCGGGGTTCAATCGGAAACCCATCGGATTCTGTAGGAAACCCATGCGATTCATTCGAACATCAAAAGCGTTCCTGGAAGAAGATGCAGGAATCCAAAGAACATCCATATGATTCCTGAGGGTAGCCGTGCATCCTAAGAACATCTGCCGTTTGCCGATGGAAATCTTCAATACCCCTGGGGACCACTTAGGAATCCAAAGGTAACCCGTAGGGCACCGCGGGGCATCCATTGGACTCTGAAGGCAACAAATTGGATCTCTTGGGAAACTCATGAGGTCCAGTTGGAAATGTATTGGATGCTTTCGGACATCCATGGGATGCCCCTGGACATCGATCGGGATCCTCGAAAATCATGAAGATGATGGCGATGAGGACGACAGCCCCTCGCTCTTGCGGCTCTTGGTGCTCGGCGAGAGTTGGTTTCTAGAGCTCGCCTCAAAGCTCGAGGTATTCGGCGGTTCTCTCCGAAAAACCTCTCTTGCGCAGAACCACAAACCGCTCGCCCGCGCTGGCTCGGCATCCCTTGGGGCCGTCTTTGCGCGGGAGGCACTTCGCGCACTCTAGCGCTGCAGCCTGCGCCTCCTCGAGGATGCCGCACTTGGGCTCTGGCGCCGTCGGGTCACTCGGCGGCTCGGCCTTGCCCTCGCTCCTGGCCTTGGCCTAGGCCTTGGCCGCGGCGGAGCGGTCGTCGCTCGCGCCCTGCAGCTTCTGGACCCACCCTTTGCCTCGAGCGCGCGCCTGGGCGACGCCGATGGGCGGCTGGCGGCCCTCGCCCCTGATCTCGCGCAAGGCGCGCTCGACCCGCCACGTCACCCAGAGGCTGCAAGTCCAGCCATCCGCCTGGAACATCTCGCTGCTGCTCGCAGAGCATTCCTCGGCAGGGCCGATGGCGCCGGGCTGTCGGGGGGCCCTCGCGGCGGCCTGCCTGGCGCTCTCGGACGGCTGCACGAGGGCGTCGCGGCGCTCGGCGGCCGCGCCCGCCCCCTGCTCGGACACCCTGCGGCAGGTGTAGCGCGGGGGGCCTCGGAGCGCACCGCGAACAGCAGGTGCTCGGCCTTCTCGACTCTCTCGGCCCTGCTCCTCGGGTTGCCGGGCGGCGGGCTCGTCCTCGCCCTGGCCCCCTCGAGCCCAGGCGACGGCCACCGTGGGCTCGACCGCCAAAACGTTCTCGGGGACGCCCGCGCGCTCCTCGATCTCGCCGAGCAGCGCTCTCACCGTGCCCAGCTCGCGGGCGTCGCCCTTCCTGATCTGCTCGCAGTTCATGATCGCGCACTGCGCGGCAAGCTCGGTGCGCCGAGATGCCCAACTAGTAGCCTCCTAGATGGCGTCTCAGTTGGATGCGGTCGGAAGATCGCGCAGCATCGCCGATGCATCGGCGACGCATCGGCCGCGCGTCGGCCATGCATCGGCGACGTCGGCGACGCATCGGCAACGCAATCGTGGAGAAAGACGGGCTCCACGCCGAACCGCGTCGGCGATGCGTCGGCAATGCGACGCGATCCTTCGACCCCATCCACTCGGACCCCAGCTTGGATGCCTGGACCTGCACATGCGCCTATATCTTGTGGCCGGCTCGGGGGACTTGTATTCCTGCTCGACCGTGACCTGCGAGGCTCGAGGATTCACTTTCTGGAAACCCGTTGGACGCATCAAGGAACCCATCGGGTCACTTAGGAAACCCCTGGGATTCCGATGGGCATCGATAATATTCTAGACGGAATACAACATATTCCTTAGGACATCCATCGGTTTCCTTCAGAAGCCAATGATGTTCGTTACGCAATCTATAGGTTTTCTCCAGACACTACCCAGGATGCCGTAGGAAACCAGTCGGAATCCGATGGGATGTCGTTGGGCCCCTTAGGAAATTATTGGGATTCCTTCGGGAATCCATCGGGCTCCTCCGGAGATCCATCGCATTCCTTTGGCAATCCATCGGGTTCCTTAGGAAATCCATTGGGCCCCTTAGGAAACCAATGCACCCCCTCAGGAAATCCAAAGAATCCCGTCGGACATCTATAGGAATCCTTAGGACACCCACCGGAATCCTCAGGACATCCTTAAGATTCTTGAAAACAATCAATCGGCAATGTGCACGTGTGAACGTGTGAAACTCAATTCTTTATCACTAATTTTCTCCATAGCGATACTATAGATATGTCCATGTACACAACTTATGTGTATGACTATATATATAACTCTCTATATATGTGTGCATAACAACAAATGCTTGTGTAGCTGTATATCTGTACATACTAGAAACCACGCGCGCTTCGCGCGCGCTTAGGTTCTAGCGCAGGCCAGGGAAGCGTTACAGCACAGTGGGATCCTCCGTCTCCCCACGTTCGGGGATGACGGACGAGCGAGGGCAAGGGACAGGAATGATGAGTCAGGGTGATTGCGTCAGCCGACCCTCGCTTGCCCGGGGTGTGAAGACGTGTGAGACATTTGGGTGTCCCACTCCCCTCCCCAGGGGTCAAACATCGGATGAGAGAGGGGCGGGGCTCGGGGGGGGGGGGGTAGACGAGCTGCTCAACGCACCCCCTAGGTTTATAAAGCCTGCAAAGAGGCTCACAATTGCCCAAGAGAACCCAAACAGAACGCCACCACAGCCGAGAGAGCATCGGATCGATCGTGAGATTGATAGTGAGTTCGGCACTGAGATCGATCGGGAGATCGATTGAATGAGGTCAATAATGAGATCGATCGTGAGCTCGATTTTGATTGATAATGATATCGACGGTTAGATCGACCGTGAGCTCGATCGTGACATCGACCGTGAGATCGATAGTGCTTTCCACAGTGACCTCGATAGTGAGATCGATTGCGATCGGTTCTGATATCGACAGAGAGCTCGTTAGCGAGATCGGTATTGTGATCGATTGAGCGAGATCGACAATGATATCGATAGTTACGTCGACTGTGAGACCGATCGTGAGATCGATAATGACACCGATTATGGGATCGATAACACGACCAATTTTTGAGATCGATAATTGAATTAATTGTGAGATGATCGATCGTGGACTCAATAGTGAGATCCACGGTGACATCGATTGTGAAACCGATTGGGTGAGATCGATTGAATGAGATCGATGAAATTGAATATGTCGGGTGAGATCGATGATGATATCAATTGGATCAGGCGTTGGTTACTTCCTCCCCCACAACCTCCTTATCACCCGAAGGGTGGCCGTGTAGGTGTTTCGGGCCTGGTGGGGCTGCAACTGCATCGCGGATGAGGGCTGTCATTGCCAAGGGTGGGATTGCGGCTGCATAACCCGCTCTGGACAGACAATACCTGACTGAACCAGTAAGACATCTCGCCCTCAGTCGAACTGGTGCCCAGAAAAGCACGGGGCACGCAGAAAGATTCGACGGTCTGACACTTAGGTCGGACGGCGGAAAGAGCGACTCCACACGTGAGGCTTACCAGGAGTCTCGTGAGCCATCAGACAGGGAACGGAGGGACGCAGGAAAGGGAAGACGGGAGGCTGGATGGAGCAACAAGGAGGAAGAAGAGAGGAGAGAGGATAAACTGGGAAAGACGAGAGGCGGAGAAGCTAGAATACCTCCTGTGGCTTTCATGGGCGCATCGAGCCATCTCAAACTACAGACAATACAAACAGACATCCGTATGACTCTGGAGCGACCCTTCTGAGGAACCTCTTATGACTCTCCAGCGACCCTCCGGGCGGCATCGGCTCCTGGAGCCATCTCTGACTACAGACAGAATATAACAGAACTCCTCATGAAACTGAGACGACCCTTCTGGGGAACCTCATGACTCTCAAGCGACCCTTCGGGCGGCATCTTGGAACCCACTATGGACCTCTTGGACTCGTTGTGCAACATAAGACCCCTACTGCTACATATCGGAACACCGTCGGGCTATCCAAGGGCCTCCAGGGACAGTGCCTTGAATTGCCGGGTGCCCTAAGTCTTGACGCCGCTTGGGGTTCTTCTGGAGGTCTCGCGGGTCGTCTAGGGGTTGAAGGCTCGAAATGACAGTTCGCGTTCCCTCTCTTGGATAGCTCTTGGATCCCTTGTCGGGCTCTCTTGGGCCATCTTGGGGGCCTCCTGGGTCGTCATGTGACCCTCTTGGGCCGTCTTGGTGCCGTCTTGGGCCGTGTCTGGGCGATCTTGGGGGCCTCTTGGGCCGTCGCGGACGCTGCTCAGACCAAAAACGCGAATATGCTAAACATGCAAGTTTGCCCGAATACTTGGGGACGACATACCGTTCTTGGGAACCTCTTTGGGGTCTTCTTGGGACCCTCTTGGGGCGTCTTTGGGGCCTCTTCGACGGTCTGGAATACTTCCATATGGGGGCCCTCATGGGGCCCTCTTGGGCCATCTTGGGCGCCTCTTGGGCCGTGTTGGGGTCCTCCTGAACCGTCCTGCGGACCTCTTGGGGGCCTCTTGGCCTTTCCTGGGGCATCTCGGGGGCCTCTTTGGCCGTCTTGGACTCTCTGAAGACCCCAAAGGCGAATCTGCTGAACAGGTACATTGTCCTGTAGAACTGAGGCAAGTTTAGGCCTTCTGTGGCCCTCGCGAGGAACATCTTGGTGCGCACTAATCTCGGGCCTTCTTCGATGGTGTCGACGACGACGCAGACGACAGAACGTCGACGACGACGACCACGACGAAGGAAAGGAGGAGGAAGTGCAGGGCAATATTTTGAAGCTTGTGGCGTGTTGGGAGCACCTCGGGACAAACTGCGCTTCCTAAGCTCCGCTTCGGCTCTCCTAGGGCCGTCGAAAAAGCGTCGCGGGACACCTTTATCTTTGAACCGTACTGGGCCTATCTTGGGGCTTTCGGGGGCGTTGAACATCAGTATGTTCAATTGGACTCGGCCATCTTGAGCTTCCCTTGGGGCCCATGGGCGAGCCCAAGATCCCGACCCCGGGTACGCATGTGTCCCAGTGACCCCAAGGGCGCCCTCGTGGCCCCCAAAGTGGCCACGTGGGCGCACAAACGGCACACACACACACACACACAATGGCGCGACAATCTACCAAGGTTTAGGGTCTCATATCCGTCCATCACACCCCGAGAACGCCGAAGATGCCTTGTGAACGGCCTCCGAAGGCTTCCGGCCTGCGCCAGGCCGGCCCCGGGAAGGCGTCTGTGGCTTCCTTGGGGATTTTCGCTGTCATGCGGTCGTCCGGGAGTGATCTTCTGGCGACTCGGGCGCAACTCGGTGCCCTGTTGGGCTGTCCTGGAAGTGTCTTGGGGCGGCTTCGGGGCCTCTTGGACGCTCTGAGCGCGCCTGGGGGGAGTTCCTGGAACCGTCTTGAAGCGGGTGGTGGTGCTTTTCAAAAACACCAGAAAACAATTCAAAAAATTGATTATTGTTGATTGGTGTCTCCACCAATTGTGTGTTGATTATTGTTGTTGATTCAAAACACATCATGTTGTAGAATTATTGATTGTGTCTCCACCAATCAATAATTCAACCAAAAATTCAAAACAAAATTGTCGAGGCCTGGTTTTGTTTCCTGGTGGGGGAGGGACCTCATTTTTGGGGCTGGGTTGGAGGTTGGAGCGTCGGCAAGCCCAAAAAGGCGGAAGACCTCAAGAGCATCAGAGCCCGCCGGGAGTGACCCGCCGGCGCCCCAAGAGGCGCCCAGAGAGCCTCGGGTCGCCCCTCGGGCACCTCTGGGCCCCCCCAGGCGCCACCGAGCCCCTGGCCCAGGGCCCCCCCCCGGCATCGTGGACAGGAGTGTGGCAGACGACGGGAGCAGCGGCGGCGACGGACAACGGCGCCGCAACTGCGAGGACGACGACGACGACGACGACATCTGCGACGAGCGTCACGACTACCACGGCGAGAGGACAGAGAGGAGACATCCAGGAGATCTCGAGGAAAGCTATGAGCCCCACGGCCACGACGGCGTCCCTCCGCCCATCTCAGCGCACCCATCACACGGATTGTGCGCCAGAAGGGCGCGGTGTCACGTGCCCCGTTGTGGGAGGATTCGCATAACTAAAATCACCTCCCCCTAGGGCGACTGGGCTTCTCACGCAGATCGTGTCCCACTGGGAGCTCCGCCGACAGTCCCAGAAGCCAACGTTCGTACGCCGCCCTCCCGCCAGTGGTGGTACACCCCTGACCTCGACCGTCAGTTCGGGGTGTCTTGGTTGCTTCCCGGCGCCCGGCAGCATGTTTCTGTGGTGCCTTTGGAAGCCCTGAGATGGATCTTGCAGGACGTAGACGCGAGACCTCCCATAAGCTTATATGGGGACCTACTGGGACGCCTCCTGGGAGCCTTTTTGGAAGCATCGTGGGAGTCTCTGGGACCTCTTCGGGCCTTCCTTGGGAGTCCTTTGGGGTTTTTTTTTGCCCGTCAGTGGGCCCTGTTCGGCCGTCCCGGGTCCCTTTTGGCCCGTCATGGTGGGCTGAGGCAGTCTTGGGGCCCTCTTGGGGGCCGCTCGGGCCTCTCCTTGGATTCTCTTGAGCAGTCTTGGGCTGCTCTTGGGCACTCCAGGGCCGTTTTGGGGCTCTTTTGGTGCCTCTTCGGCGGTCTTGGGGCGATCTTCGGGGCGCTTTCGGGGCGTCTTCGGCCGTCTTGGGGCGTTAGAAGCTCGAGAACGCGAGAAAACGGAAAACATAGAACAACTACGGAAAAGCAAGGATTCTGCCTCTTTGGGCTCTCTCGGGACGACGCCTCTCGGAGCTTTCTTGGGGCCTCTTGGACCCTGAGGTCTTAGATAACTATCATATGGTTTCATGAATATGTTGATTGTGCGCGATAGTTATGTAACCATCTGCAGTGTTGCGTATAGTTGTACCCCATATATCATTGTGTTTGCGGTTCGTTGTCATTCTTCATCTTGTATGTGCATTTGTTTCTCTGCTTTTCTCTTGTATGTGCTGTGTTTCACACCGCCACCCTCGCACTGGATTTTTTTCTTTTCGGCGACTCGCGTAAGAAGCCGTTGGAAGTTGCACTCGCGTGCGCGTCGGCATATTATAACGTGCGCGGCAGCGGCCTGACCGCACTCATTTGAACACTCCTCCTCCTCCTCCTCCGATTCCTCCTCCTCCTCCTCCTCCTCTTCCCCCCCCCCCTCTTCCTCGTCATGTTCATCCTCCCCCATCTGTTATAAATAACAATATTGACGCGGCTCGCGAGCAGAATGCAACGTGGCACCGCAGAGGGCCATCTCACAAAAAAAGAAGAAGCAATCGCGCCTTCGCGGGCGAATGGAGCGACCCCGCGGCCCGCCCGCGACCCGCCTGCGACGCGACCTGCCCGCGACCCGCCCGCGCTGCAACCGCCCCGCCAACGACCCGCCCGCGACGCGACCCGCCCGCGACCCACCCGTGCCGCGCCCCACCCTGCGACCCGCCCGCGGCCCACCTGCGCCGCGACCCGCTCGCGACCGATTAGCGCGCGCTCGCGACCCGCCTGCGCCGCGACCCTCGCGCGCAGCGACCCGCCCAGCCACTGGGTCGGCGGACGGCCAGAGGCAGCAATAAGGGAAGTTCCAGCGTTTGGGTCGCACCCCGCTCGGCAAGGAAAGGACAGAGCAGTTCGCGGCGCGCAGCGCCCCTCGCCCGAAGGAAACGCCCATGCGCCAAGGCAGCCCTCGGCGTCGCGACGTCGGCCCCAGGGCCTCGGCGAGGGCCGAGATCGCGGACTGCCCTGGCCAGGCGCGGCGGCGGTGCCTTCTTCGGAGGCCCATGCAAATCTGATAACGCGGGCGCGGCCTATCGCACACGACCCGAGCTTTGCACATAGAAAACTAGGTCAGTCATCGCAACGCTCCTGCGGGCAGATCGTGATCAGGGCCACGGTGCGCTCCGCCGATGGCTGGGTCAAGAAACAGCACAGATAGGGAAGGGGAGGAGGAGGGGGAAGTGGCCCCCAGCCATCCTCACAGGCCCCCCATCCCCTCTCCCCCCATGGGCGCCCCCCCTTCATTGTGTAACGGTGAAGGGGGAGGGGCTGCGAGAGGGAACGGGGGTCGGGGAATATGACTGGAGGCCAGTTACCCCCCCTCCCCCCCATTCCCCGAGGGGCTCGAGCCCCCGATCCCGAGAGGAAGCGGTGGCAGATTACTTGCCATGCAGCGCGTGCACTTATTTGTATATATATGCATATATATATATACGTACACCTATGTTTCAGTATATTCAGACATTCGTGTTTATATAAACATAAACACCATGGATGTTTCCGCTCCCCTCCTCGAGTATGCATCCCGCGAAGAGGTGGACGACTGGCCCCTTGGCCCTCATCCCCCTCTTTCTCATGCTCATCACCCCCCTTATCCTCACCTCCCCTTCCACTGCCGCATCCCCCCCCCTCCTCCCCCCCTCGCCCCGCCGCCCCACCCCGCCCCCCCTCGCCCTTCCCTCACACGCACACACACACACACACGCACGACACCACACACACAACACACAGCCCACACACGCACATACACACACACACGCACACACACACCCCGCCCATCGCACCACCCCCGACCTCCCCTCCTCCCCCCAACCCATCCCCTCATCAACCCTGCACCCCCCCCCCCCCCCCCCCTTACCCCACGCACACACCCCCCATCGTGCCAACCCCGCCAGCTTCCACCAACCCCTCACTGTCGGATTTTTTGTTGAGGGGGTGGTTGTTGCAATTCGTTCGGCCCAGCCCGTCTCGCAGGCCAGAGTTGGCCCAAAAGTATCGGCGTCCAAAAACCAGTTGCACTGCTCCTGGGGGAGGGGTGCCACATGCCATCACCCTCCCACCTCGCCAGTACCCACCCCACCCACCCTAGGCCCCTCCTCCCTCTCCCTCCCCAATCCTTCTCCCTGATCCCGCTCATAGTCGCCCCCCTGATCATCGCCACAACCCCCCGATCGCCGCATCACCTCCGCCTCGCCCCCCCCCCCCCCCACACCTGCCTCCCCGCCACGCCCCCCCCCCTCTCCAACCCCGCCCCGCCCCCACCCCCCACCCCCGCAAACCCCTCTCCCCCCTCATCCTCGGCCACGCAGGCGCACAGCACACGCAGTACGCACGCGCACGCACACCAACACGCACCCGCACACGCACACACCACACATACACACACACACGCAACTGCAACACGCACCGCACACGCACACGCACACTCACACACACACCACAAGCACACGCACACACGCACACACGCACACGCACGCACAGCACGCACGCACGCAATCACAAACACACACACACACACGCACACGCACACGCACACGCCTACACACACGCACACACACACACACGCACTTACACGCACACGCACTCGCAAACGCACACGCACAACACACACGCACACACACACACACGCACTTACACGCACACGCACTCGCAAACACACACGCACAAACACACACACACACACAGACGCACACGCACAAACCCGCCACAACCGTGCCGCAAGTTGCCCGCCATCCCAAACACCGACCATCATATATGTGTAGATGTATGTGTATATATGTGTATATATATGTACATATATATATATAAGACAGGAGGGTCGACAGAGGGCACGTGTGTGTGCGTGCGTGTGTGCGTGTAAATGTTTGTGTGTTTGTGTGAGCGTGCGTGCGTGCGTGCGTGTGTGTGTGTGTGTTTGTGTTTGTGTTTGTGTGTGTGTGTTGTGTGTGTGTGTGTTTGTGTGAATGTGGGTGGGGGTGAGGGGGTGCTGTGGGTTTCGAGGAGGGGTGCCCTCGTCGCCGCTGGATGCGCTCGGACACCTGAGTAGGAGCCTGGGCCCAGAGGCCTGTGATGTATGCAACTGGAAGCCCGCAAGCTCGGCGACCCAGGTGGCGCCAAGCAGAGCGTCACCGACCGCTCGGCCCCCCGATGGTGCTCCCCGAGGGTGTCCCGAGCGCCATGCAGTTACGCTTTTTGATGACATGTTCTTGCGGCTGGTGGTGTAAAGTCGGCGCATGCGGCGGGCCTCAGTAGACGTGCGTTCTGGCGGGGGCCCGAGCCCCAGCCCCAATGTAGCACACTCATCCCCGATCATAGAGATGGCGCGCCATGGACGGGGACGAATTGAACGATATCATAATGAGCCAGTATACGGCATCATCATAGTATCGGAGAGGAGGGTAGCATAATACGATATCATAATGGACCAGTGCCACCGCCAGTTGGAGGGTTCGGGCTCGGCCGACGGCGCGAAGCGCATCGCCGATGAGAAAGGCGACGGCGATGGCATCGCCGATCACGGGGCGGCCTCCAGCAAGGGCCTCTACGTGTCGCCGCGCCAGGGCTTCGAGCCATTGGCGATCAGGCGGTGGAAGGATTGTGCTGTTAATATCGGGGGAACGCACCGCGGGGGATGCAGATGATGGAAGACGGGGCACTGGGGGTAGGGAGGGGGAGGAGGAGGAGCTGGAGGAGGAGGAGGACAACGACGACGACGACGGGGAGGACGAGAGGGGGAGGAGGAGGAGCTGGAGGAGGAGGATGACGAGGAGGGAGAGGAGGAGGATAAGGGGGAGGAGGAGGAGGATGAGGAGGAGGAGAAGGCGGAGGAGGAGGAGGAGGGCGTGGAGGGGGAGGAGGATGATGAGGAGGAAGATGATGAGGAGGAGGGTGAGGAGGGGGGAGGAGGAGGAGGATTTAGGGGGAGGGGTGAGGAGGCGGCGGCGTGGAGGAGGAGGAAGGACAGGAGGAGGGCGGAGGATGTGGATATAAGCGGGAGATGGCGAGCACATGCTTTGTATGCACAGGTATCTAAACTGATATGCACGCGTCCGTCTATATCTATGCTTACTGCCAAACCCTACGTGTACTTATCACGCGCGATGTCTGCGCAGTCCCTCTGCTCGCATTGTACGCTACGGTATGCGTGAGCGATCGCATGCATGCGCGCATGTACATATGTTTACACGTTATATGTATCATGTCTATAGTCGGGATAGGCGTCGCTGCAATCACCTTCGAACAAGGGTCACTAGATTGCACCACCAGCGTCCGCCGATCATGTGGCGCAGGGCAAGGAGAGAAAAAATACGGAACTCGAATGTCATGCGATGCGCGAACTTGGCGCAATCTCGAAGAGACACGTTGAGCCCCTCGTCAACCCAATTCGCGTACAGCTTTGGGCTGCCGTGCCAATCGATCCTCGACGAGGCAGGAAGGGGACTAGAGAGGAGGAGGAGGAGGAGGAGGGGGAGGGGGAGGAGGAGGAGGAAGGAGGAGAAGGAGGAGGAGGAGGGGGGGGGAGGAGGAGGGGAAGGAGGAGGAAGAGGAGGGGGGAGGAGGAGTAGGAGGAGGAGAAAGATGAGGGGGAGGAGGAGGAGGAGGAGGAGGGCGGGAATGGGGATGATGAGGTGAAGGAGGGGGGAGGGGGGCCTCTCGCTTGGGCTCCTCGGGGTCCCCGCTTGGGTCGTCGTCGTCGTCGTCGTCGTCGTCGTCGTCGTCGTCGGGGTCGTCGTCACCCTGCCCTTGGGCACCCCCAGTGCGGGGCTTATCGGTCGCCGCGCCGCCTGCGCCCTGCGAGTGGCCGCCCTCGCGAAGGCCCGCCCCGCGGGGGATCGGGGGAGGTGGCGCCGGCAGAGGGAGGGCAGCAGCAGAGCGCGGGCCACAACGGCGCCACCGGCCAGGGTCGAACTCGGGGGCGGGGGGCACGACGAGTTGGTATTCGGGTCAGGGCTGATGGGTTTGATTTATCCCGATCGGTCCTGTCAGTGAGGTGGAGGAAGAGGTGGTGTTTGGGTGTCGGGCTAATCCCCGCCTCGAAGCAGCAACGCAAATGCACGTCGCAAAGATCTTTCAACTGCGCTGAAATGTGCGGCGGTACAACGATCGGGTTCTCGTGGACTATCTCCATCCAGGATAGAAGGGAATCACATGCCCCAATCAGAGCCCCCCCGAATACGGCGCTGCCTCCGAGGACCCCCAACTCGTGGTGAACGAACTTCAACATAAGATGCGCCTCCGCGGCCTTGAGAGACATCGAGCACCCGTCGTGGTCGGGGTCCTGACTGAGTTGTCGCTTAAGCACGCGGGTGATGGGGGGGGATTCTGCTAGTGGGGTGTCAGGGGGGGTGGAATTGAGCCCCCCCCCTCTCAAGGAGGGGTGGGTGGGCGGGTGGAGGGGTGTGGGGGAGAGAGAGAGAGAGGGCAGGCCTGGTGTTGCCTCTTCCTCCCCCTCCCCCATCCTCCTCCTCATCTCCCCTCCTCCTCCTCCTCCCCCTCCTCCTCTTCCTCCTCCTCCTCCTCATTTTCCTCCTCCTCCTCCTTCTCCTCCTCCTCCTTCTCCTCCTCCTCCGCCTCCTCCTCCCTCTCCTCCTCCCCCTCCTCCTCCTCCTTCTTCTCCTCCTCCTCCTCCTCCTTCTCCCTCTCCATCATCATCACCCCCCATAGCATTGGCCGCTGCCCCTCCATGACAACGCAACACATTAATCCCTAAAGTCCTCGTCGGCGTAGCCCTTGGATGGCCCGATCATCTTGAGCGTGAGGTGCCCAAGACGGTTGCTGGGGTGCACGTTCGCGTCCTGCCAGGTCTGCAATGCAGAAGCCAGCTGTCGACACCCCAAATCCATGCGATGCTTCAGTGGGCCAACAAACCCCCACCTGTTATACAGAATAATGCGCCACAGAGCCGCCGACGCAAGTCGGTGCATGATGCCGAGGTTCACCACGTGCATCGAGTCGATCGCAATCGACTCCGAGGGGCTGGCCCCGAGGTCGCGGCACAACAAGGGACACCGATGGT